ACAGTTTAAGCAGTATGCACCGATGAATCAATGTTTACATGTGATCGACGCGATCGCGATGTGTATTTGAGAGTGGTGGAGCGGATCTCAAAGAAGTAAGAGACAATTTTCCTTTGCAATATTTTTTTACGATATACCCTGTCTATGTAAGATGTATTCAAAAAATGGTATAAATATGTAAATGAAATTTATCTACAGTATAAAGGTTCAATATAAAGGTTCAATATGCTATCAGAAATCACCTTGTCTACAGCTTCTATACATTTTATAATATTACGCATGTAGGAAAACTATTGGTATTATAGAGACGTATTCAATTAATAATGTTTGTTAAGAAACCAGTTCTAAATGTTTTTATTTATATCTATTAAAATCAGTGGATTAGGAGATTCAGATATTGATTAAATTAATTTATACATGAAACTAAATTCCACATGTTGGAAACAGCGATGAAAACTCTGGATGCGTCAAACGTCAAAACACGTTGGTAAAAAAATTCTGCGTCGAAGTTCACCGTCAGTCTGCAACGTCACATCTTTATGACGTTATTTCTCTGTTTTAGTAAAAATGCCATAAGGACCCTTTTGTCATGGGCGCAATCAAATGTAATTAGATTTTACAAAGATTTTGTTTCAGATGTTGAAGATGTTCCACAAGCATGGAAGTTAGCAGTCAACAGCATGGGAGGATCTTACTGTGTGCGTTCGATGAGTAAAAAGCTCATTGTGGTTGAACTATACCAATCGTATGTAGTTCAAGGTCTGGTAAGAGGAGTTCAGGGTGAGAATGCACAGTATATTACTGAATGCTTTGACAATGAGTCGAACTACATTGTTTGTCCAAGAGTGGTTGAACTAGGTACTAAGACAAACAGCAGTAGAATTCAAGTGAAAATCTGCAATATTACTGCAAAGCCTATTACCATAAGACCAAAGTCTGGTGTGTGTCAGCTTAGTCAAGTTAAGATAGTGGACAACTTAGTTTCTCAGAAGTTTTCTGATAGCACTGTACATAGTGAGCACAATTTGTCAAATTTACCAGATGTACATATTGACAAGAAAAACTTGACCACTGAAGAACGTCAGACTTTTTTCAGAAATTTTATGCAAGTGGAGCCATGTGTTTTCCAGAAATGCAAACGACATAGGCAAAACAGATCTAGTGGAACACAGGATTGTATTAGAAGATGATCGACCCTTTAAGCAACCATACCGCAAGATTCCACCTGGTATGTATGATGAAATACGCCAACACATCAAGGATATGCTGGAAGCAGGGGGTAATTAGAGAACCAGATAGCCCATTTTCCTCGAACGTGGTACTTGTGCGAAAGAAGGACGGAAGCTTGAGATTTTGCATAGACTACCGGATTCTTAACTCTAAGACCAGAAAAGACGCATATATGCTTCCCAGATTTGATGATGTAGTAGATACCTTATCAGGATCCAAATTCTTTTCCAAACTTGACTTGCGGTCTGGATACTGGCAAGTGGCCGTAGCTGAAGAAGACAAGCCGAAGACCGCATTCTCCGTTGGAAATTTAGGGTTTTACGAATGTAACCGTATGAGTTTTAGTCTTACCAACGCACCTGCCACATTCCAGCGACTGATGGAGAAGTGTATGGGAGACATGTTATTGAAAGAATGCCTTATCTTATCTTATCTTCGACGACATTTTGATTATTTCGAAAACATTTGAAGACCACATTAGAAGATTAGAATAAGTCTTTGTAAAACTTTCAGAACACAATTTAAAACTTAAACCATCTAAATGCGAATTTTTCAGAACATCAGTAACTTATTTAGGCCATGTTGTGGGAGAAAACGGAATTTCCGCTGACCCAGAGAAATTATCTGCAGTTAAAGAATGGAGAACGCCACAAAACATCAAAGAGCTGAGACAGTTTTTAGGTTTCTCAGGGTATTACCGTAGGTTCATCAAAAATTATTCCCAAATTGTCCAACCTTTAAATTCTTTATTACAGGGACACAGCACGACGAGAAAAGTAAAGAAGAAACATGAAGTACCAGCATGGAAATGGCAAACTATACATCAGACAGCGTTCGAGACAATTAAAGAATTACTGACCCAGCCACCAGTTTTAGCTTATGCAGATTACTCCAAGCCATTTATTATCCATACAGATTCCAGCAGTCATGGACTTGGTGCAGTATTATACCAGAGACAAGATGGGGTAGATAAGGTAATCGCCTATGCAAGCAGAGGGTTAAGACCAGCCGAGCGAAACTATCCTGCTCACAAGTTAGAGTTTTTAGCGTTGCCATTACAGACAAATTCCACGATTACTTATATGGGAACCAATTTGAAGTCATTACCGACAACAATCCATTGACTTATGTACTATCCAAAGCAAAGTTAGATGCGACCAGTCATAGATGGGTTTCTGCTCTTGCCAATTACAATTTTAGTATTTCTTACCGTTCCCGAAAATTCAACTCGGATGCAGACGCTCTTTCCAGAAAATCTTATTTATTTTCAGATTCAGTAAAGGCCATTTGTAATTCAGTTTCTTTAGATATTTCAGCAGCAGAAACATTATCACAGAATTTTCCATCAGATGAGATTACAGCAACAGATATGTCAGACATTGACTGGAAGAAAGAACAAAGAGAAGATAAAACGATAGCCAGAGTCATAGAAATTTTCAACCAGGGAGAGAAGGGTAGGAAAGAAACAACAACGGTTCAGAAATATTTAAGAGAGAGAACGAAACTTCAGATTATTGATGATACTTTATACAGAAATTCCTTTTTAGATGGAGAGAAAATTATTCAACTTTGTTTGCCAGACCATTTTAAAGATGTAGTTTTCATAGGAATCCACAAAGAAGTAGGACACCCAGGAATAGAGAAGACGATTTGGCTAGCAAAGCAGAGATTTTATTATCCAGGGTTAGAACAAGATATTAAAGCCAGGGTAGAGAACTGTGAGAGATGTATCAGAAGCAAAACACCTGTCAGACCAAGAGCGAATCTTCATCCCATTACTTCAACAAAACCACTAGAAATTCTTTGTATTGATTTTTTGTCCTTAGAGAAATGTAAAGGGGGGTTTGAAAATATTCTTGTTATTACAGATCATTTCACCAGATACGCCTGCGCAGTTCCATTGAAAAACCAGTTAGCGACAACAACAGCCAAAGCTTTGTATGAAAATTTTATAGTTCATTACAGTTTTCCAGATCAACTCCATAGCGACTAAGGAAGAAATTTCGAAAGTAAAGTCATTAAAGAATTCTGCAAGATAGCGAACATCAAGAAATCAGGAACAACGCCGTACCATCCTGAAGGCAACGGATCAGTAGAAAGATTCAACCAGACACTTATTAAAATGCTGAGTACATTAGAGGAAAGCCAGAAATCGGATTGGAAATCGTATGTTACCACACTAGTGCACGCCTACAATTCAGTCAAGAATGATGCCACTGGGTATTCTCCACATTTCTTAATGTTCGGATGGCACCCACGTCTATCACTAGATGCATTTTTAGGGATAAAACCAGGAAATCAGAATATAGGAGCAAAGGATCACCATTCGTATGTTTATAAACTCCAAGAAAGATTACAGTATTCTTATAAAGTTGCCGCAGAAGAATCAAAGAAAAATGCAGATAAAAATAAAGAAAATTTTGATAGGAAAGTTAGAAATTCTAAGTTAGAAATTGGGGATAGAGTTTTAGTTAGAAAAGTAGGTTTCAAAGAAAAACATAAACATGCAGACAAGTGGGATGAATATGTTTACATTATTTTAGGTATTCCAAATGAAGACGTCCCAGTTTATGTTGTAAGGCGTGAGGACGGGAAAGGGTCTACACATACCCTCCATAGAAATTTTCTTTTGCCTTTTAATTGTATTCCAACTAATGTTATTTCTTCTCCAGTTTCCAAACAGGTCAAGAAGAATCAGAGTTATCAGACAACACCCACCATTCCTTCAAATGATTCATCTCAGTGTTCGTCAGATGAGAGCGATAGTGGAGTACCGGTATACATCATACCACAGCGTCGTCATCGACAAAGTCTTCAATCCTCTCCTCGACAGTCAACTATGAACAATTCGTCTCTTTTACAGTCATCGAACCATTCTTCTTTACATGAATCAACTATATCGTCTTCTTTTTCTAGATCTTCAATTTCAGTGAATTCGCCCAGTATAAGTATTTCACCTCCAAGAAGATCAACCAGAGTCAGTAAACCGCCAGAAAGATATGGGGAGTGGCAGTATGTACAGGATGTCAGTCAGAAATGTGTTTATTTAGAGACATTAGTATAGAGCCAGCAGAGAAGTGATTAGTTAAAGACACTTGCTTAGTTTGTCCGTGTGTCAGTGTGTTTTTAGTCATAGATTATTTTCATAAAGTTATACTTCTAATATTTTTTTTTACTATGTATATAATTACAGGTATGACATGTATTATATGATGACAACAATGAAGTCTGTTCTTCATCAGTATAACTACTGATGTATGATTGTATATTTTTTTATGACCCCTGGACCCATGCCCTGGTACCCTTGGATAGGTTATAAGGTAATGTCAGGAGCCATTTTCTCCTGGCAGGGGGAATATGTAGCCAGGTGTTGGATGTTGGATCCACCTATTGGTATTTGTGGCTAGTTCATTGTTTGTCTGTCTTTATTGTCATTCGTTGTCAGTGTCACGTGATCTAGTAGGATAGAGAGAAAGGGGTGTATGAGAGAGAGAGTGAGTTGTATTCACTAACAAAACCTGTTTTAACTACCTGTCCACCCATACCCATGCACACGGTCAAGTTAGCATCACGCAAATAATGTATAGCATATAGGGTGTTGTAGACTGGTAAGCTTTTATATATACATGTATATATATATATATATATATATATATATATATATATATATATATATATATATATGTGTGTGTGTGTGTGTGTGTGTGTGTGTGTGTGTGTGTGTGTGCGTGTGTGGCTCCCCCATACTGGGGACCTGCTACAGATACGCAAGTCGTAAAATGGGGACATAAAAAACATTGGGGACTTGATTTAAGTCCCCAATCTTTTTTTTCGTTGAAAACGAAAAATTGACATGTCTAAATCCTAAAAATATCAAAAAAATAACGTGTCCCAGTTACGGGGTTTTATCGGACACATGATTACACAGATATCGTGTTGATTGAAGTTGCCATCTTCACTTACACATCTCTGACGTTACACACTTCTAGATTACGCATGCGCGTGTGTAAAAAAAAGCGGAAGTCCAATTGTTTTGAAGCGGGATACAATAAACATGTGGAAAAGAAGACACAGAGGAAAACCTGGGCACAGAATCCTAGATTCTTTTGATAAGGATAATTTTTATGCTGGAAAACGGTATGTTATCTACTTCTTGGATAAAGTATGGTGCGAGGAAACTTGCATCAAAGTATTAATTATTGAAGGGGGGAGGGGGCAGTAACGATTGCTGCATAGGCCTATCGGGTACTCAGTTGAAATGAAAAGACAGTTATTTATGTGATTTTCTTTCTTGAAATAGTACACAATTTATGCTATTCATTTCACAATGATTTAAAATTCATCAAATGTGAGGTATATTAATCGAATGTGTTTTGTATTTCATCAGCTGTTCATGTCAACATGAAATGATTTTTACTAAGTTTTAACTGAACTAAATCCAGTCCACTTTAATTGGGGAAAATGGAAATGTAGTTTGTATGTTTGAGTTTTTTTGAGCCAATAGTGAGATCGGATTGTACCCCCCCCCCTTTCTTCTTGAGATCTGCAACTTTTTGTTTTTAAAGCCAAACCTAAGATCGGGTTGTACCAAACACCTCAACAACCACCTCCTTCTTCTTGTCGAGCTCAGCAACCTATTTCTGGTGTTGTTTTCTTTTCATTTTTTAAAGCAAAAAGTGAGATCGGATTTTACCCCCCCCCCCCACCTTTTACTTGAGAGAGAACATACAGTGTAGTTATCAATTCATCATATATTTCACTTGTCCTATAATATATAAGCATTACTTAATACAATAATAGCCTATCTCAATTTTACTCAAAATGCACTTATTATCTACTGCTAAAGAGCAAGTAATTGAATATCAAACATATATTGTTTAGTACATGTTGTTTATATTAAAGAAACTTGGACTGAAGCATCTTTTAATTTAAAAAGCTACCACATTACTTATATGACAGTATAATTCATCAAGTGACAATTATATTTTCCTCATTTTTTCTTAATTATTATCATTTTCCAGCATTCTTTTTTTTTTAAAAATCACATTTGATGTCTCAAAGGGCCTGTACATGTTATGGGCATTGGAATAAAAATGCTCAGAAAGAAAATATGGATAAAAATGTACGTCTTGAAAAAATTTTATTAATGATTTTTTTTTAAATTATATAATTATTATCCTTAAACATGTTAAAAGATATAGAATTAAACTAGAATATAAAAATCATGCAAACTTGTGTTTATTAGATTTTTTTAATCAGGTCATTATATCCTAAAGCAGGACATCCAACACTGTGCATACAAGTAAAACATGTGAATGTGCTGTGTTTATCTATTGTGATAATTAATATATTATTTAATTTTATTTATTTCAATTCTCCGGGTTGTATTTTATATTTATAAAATATTTAATTTCTTTTTTATTAAAGCAATTAATTAAATAAATTGGGTAAATACATCAGTCAATGCATAAAAATGGAAATCAATTGATATTACAATTTTTATTGACAAAAAGCGGAGAAAAGAAATATAGTTAAGAGTCAAAATCAGCAAGCATCGAGCATTTAGTTAAAAAATGTGGAAAGTGGCATAGAAACAGATTTGGTTAAAACTCATATATAAATTTTCAGAACAAAGGGTATGATAGAAAAAGGCAAGCCAAAAATAATTTTTTGCATTGTTGCTATGGAAACCACGCGCCTTTCAAATAGCGTGTTTTGTACTTTATCATGACACTTGAAGTTATGGTTAAACAAATACTTTTTTATTACTAGTCATTAAAGAAAGCTTTTTAAATTATTATTTTATTTATATAAATATACTCTATTTTAACAAATGTTGATTATTGAAATTCTCTTCACCCTTTGATAAATAAAACTAGTTTTTGGAGGTTTATTTTGCTTTAAAAAACAGCAAATTTGAAGTACTCTATAAGAAATCTACAACCACATTAAAGCTTATCAACATAAAATATATATTAAATAGTATTTGTTCTAGAAGAATCAAGAAAAAAATCTGCAGGCAACTAAAGCATTTATATATGATAACTGATTTAAATCCATAATTTTCTGTAACTTTTGCTTTAAATTACCTCCCTTTGGTATAGCTCTCTAACATAGGAGGAATAAACGGTAGTTTGCTTACATTGTTTTCAATAACAGTGTACAGAAGACTAGCAGAAAATTACAAACTTGGAGCAGTCTGAGCCTCAGTTTTGGCGTTTTTATGAGTCTTAATTACGGTGAGTGACTGAAATTTTTACAATTTACCATTACAACAGTTACTGAAGAATGTATAACATAAATTAACCATGTTGTAAAATATGTAACACTTTTGCAGGTGTTTTTGTACATTTCAATTTAGGCCTAATTCTGATTGATTACTAGTATATATGTTAGCACTACTTTAGTATTTTATAATTTAAAAGAAAAGATTATGCATGGCCTGAGGAACCAGGAGGAGGGGGTATGCCCCCCCCCCATAATATTGCCGATATTAAACTATAATATGATAAAATGAAATTTAATTCCCCAACTCAGATTGTTTCTGCGAGCCTAACGTGAAAAAGTTGATCCTGATTAGTTACATAACTGTATCCCAAATTTTAAAGTTTAATTTGAATTAAGTTTAATTTTGATTTGTTGTATTCACGGCATGTGTGTAACCAAGTCACTCACCAGCTATAATGATTATAACTTGAGTGATTGTCGGGTAAAAAAAAATTCTGTATATAATAATAGATATCTTTATTTACCATTTAAGGTATTGATAACACCTGCTTTTTACACAAAAATTATGAATTTATGAAAACCAACACTATTATGAAATATTTGTAAAATGGAATGACCTTTGTTATGGCGTCAGTAAAAAAAAAAGGGGGGGGCAGGGGGTTAACTCTTTACTTAATATATTTTAGTTTAGGAAAGGGGATTACCTTGGAAGTACATGTATTGTGATACAGACAAGTGTCTTATGTAGTGGACTAGTAGTAACTG